CCAGACTGAGCATGACAAGCTATGCTAGTCGGTTGGAAAAAACCTATATTATCTGGGCATATAAAACTATCTGATAAGCGTTTTAATAGGTCATCCCTTGATGAAGTCAGAGTATGTTTGTATGAGTGGGCTGAGGGACTGTGTGACCCTTGTGTGTGATAGTGGCCTTCAGAGATGAAGGCCAAAGCCTCATCCGCGAGCCATTACACGGCGTGCATATATGATAGTTGTTTTGAAAAAGCAAACCACTTTTCAATGTGAAGGTTATACATGTACGAGAGATACCCCTATGCGTCATAGGAGCTGTGGTCTCATTAAGTCTAGGTGACTTTGGTACATCTCTAAGGGAGAACTTGAAATCCACAAACTGAGATTACGATGCCTTGGTTTATCGGTTAGACTTTGGTGACCCACTAATGAAGCCCTGCATAGATTGTGGGTCACGGGAAATGTTGAGCATGTTTAATAAAGCAAGTGTGGACCGTAGTCCACAGTTGAAGGTGGAGTGCCTCAGCGTTTATTTATTTAATTACTAGACCATATGGATTTTTTTCCCATCTAATGAATTTAATTATGTTTGTTTTAATGATATATGATTTTTAGAATTATTATTTGAATTTTTCTAGATATCTGGATAATTTATTTATCCAATTTGGATTTATAAAAGCAGAGATATTGATTTTAGATTGATTTAATTATTCATATTGGATTTTATGAATTTTCAAAATTTATATAATTTTTAATTAATTTATTTTTACATGGGAGGCCGAATAAGCATATGAACCCACCATTGCAATGTGGGTTGGGCCCATGAGTGCCACCTAGGGTGGCACGCCCCACTCTAAGGAACTTTCCAATTTTGTTGGATCAAGCTTTAGCTTGAAGAAAAAGATTTGTGATGTTTTGGAAAGCTTTTGCTTTGAGGAAGCTTTGAATGGATTTTTTAGAAAGCATGATAAGGCTTATGCATAATTTTGGTAAGCACAATATTATGAATGAAATTATTTAATTTAATTTCTATTGATGGTTTAAGAATAAGGGATAAAAGTTCTAGCACCTTCCATGATGTTGATGATCCATCTATGGAACGGAAGACTCAAATCTCCCACCCCACAAGTCACTTAAGATCAATTGTTCACATTCAATCTCACAAGAAGAGGCAAGTCAAAGAAAATACTAAGAAATCTTAATTTTGTTCAAGCAGTATAAAAAAAAATTGATCTCTACCCAAATCTCTATACTTTATCTCTTACACCTAATTCTCTCTCACATCTCACAAAAGAAGCATGCCACACTCTCTCATCTTTGATGTCTCTCTCATAGTGGTTTTCTCAACTCTCTCATGATCTCTTATCTCTCATTGGCGTTTTAAACTATAGGGTTGTTGTAGAAAAGAGAAGTATCTCTTTTAAACTAGGTTGCTAAGGGATTCATCTAAGGGTTTGAGATTTGTGATAAGGGAGTTCATTGTGCCATTAGAAGGTGTGGTCTAAACTTGCTTTCCCTATTGAAATTGAAGGTTGATCGTTGATCCCACGCCATCGAATGGTGATGACTCGAAAACTAGGATGCTAAGGGGATTCACCTACGAGTTTGAGATTTGTGATAAGGGAGTTCATTGTGCCATTAGAGGGTTTGGCCTAAACTTGCTTTCCCAATTGAAATTAAATGTTGATTGTTGATCCCGCGCCATTGGATGGTGGTGACTCAATGTGGGGTATAATAAGCCCAGTTGAGATAATCGTTGTCACTATTTTTTTTGTTTCTTGTTATATTTAATTATATTGTCTTTATATTCCCAAGCATAATAATTGTGAATATTTTCTTTGTTCAAAGAATATTAGTTTAGTGGCATTAAAGTTTTTTGAAATCTTGGATGTGTTAGTTTTATTTTCTTTGAAGCAAATAAAACTACATGTAAGTGATATTTGCCAAAAGAAAAGAATAATTTTCTATTACATACTTCAGTAATATTATGTGTTTTTTAGAGTAGGATTAACCTACAAATTTTCAGTAAGAGATCCTAAGGGAATTTAGAGTTGTGGACTCATTAGTGAAGGGTATCAATTCCCCTGCAAAATCCAGGAACTATCTATTGAGTTCCGTGATTTTTCCTACTAACCACATGATTTTATTTCTAACTAAAATTATAATGTAACTCATCAAATTAAATCTACTTTCAAACAAAAATAGTTTCATCAAGAAATTACATGTGGTTTGAAAGATATGGTCTATTTTTGCAAATGCTATTTCTGCAATGGAAACTATTTTAATGACTTGAAAGTCATGATTTTATTTTTATTCTTAAGAGAATGTTTTATGGTCCACACTAAGTTTTTATAATTTTATTATGAGTCTAGTTTTTAATAAAATTTATTTGAAAAAGAACTATATATGAGAAAAGAGGAATAAAAATTTTGGATTGAAGCGAGGTCATCTAGAATTTTCTGCAATTTGGTGAATTCTTCATTTAGACATGAATAACTATATTTATCAAAGCCTACTTAACAAAGTGATATGAGGCTTGTGAAAACATATGTATTACCCTTCTGTGTCTACTTTAAAAAACAATTGGTTTAAAAGGGAAACTCCATGAGAGTAGAGAGAAAAGACAATTTTACTAAATAGTATTCATTCTAAAATTCTACAGTATGATTATTTTGTAACGTGAATGTTACTTATTTATTTCTCAAAAGTATTATTTGGGATTCATATGATTTGGTTTTGAGTCTAGTTTTCAATACACACGATTTTAGGAAGAAAGTCTTTGAGGATTGAGAAAAACAATTTTTTTATTGAGATGTGCTCAACTTGATTTTCTGCTGAGAAAATTGCATTGTGACGTAAATGTAACTAAAACGTGGACTCACTAAATCGTGTGATAGAGGGATGAAACTTAGCACTATTTTATATTTTTTAGCCTGTTTCAATACTCAAAAGGATTAGGAGATAAACTCTTTATGAGTTGAGGGATATCATATTTTTATCATGGGATGCTAATGTTTTTTCTGCAGTAAATTAAAGATGTGGCATGTTAAGACACATCTTTAGATTCCTAATTATGGAGACCTTTTTAGGGCTCATTTAAAAAAGTTTTTATAGTGTGTCATGAGTATAGTTCATTATAGTAAAACTTCAAAGAGAGGTAATACAAAGTTGGTAAGACATGACACTCTATATGAAGAGTGTTCGATCTAGGAATAGCAGAAAGAAGAAGAAACATAATACATATAAAAACATATTGGTTTCTTCGAAATGAATGAATAAAAGAGACTTGATGATAGCAAAGAAACGCTAAAGATCAGTGGACGAATCAAATTTGTGATATTTGAAATGATGGGATGAAGAAAAGTATTTCTTCACAGTATGAGAAAGAGAGACTCCAAGTACGGAAGAGATGGACACTTCGTGACATGTGAAGCCGATGACTAATATATTCTCCATCAGTTACGTGCTCTTCTAATATCACAAAAGCTTGTCAAATAAGTAAAAACAATGAATCAAGAAAGCCCAGCTACCACACTACATGGTTTTGAGGTATGAAATATATCTCACATTACATTGTAAGGTCATATAGGGAAAAATGATCCAGTAACTTATTACTTTATGTTTAAAATTTTTTGGTTATATTTTGGCTAATTGTTTTATGAATGTATGAAGTATATGAACATTAAGTGATATGTGCTAACAAATTTGAAAGAACGGATTTGTGAATGCCCTGTGCTTTAGTGCATCCTTGTGCTAGAGTGTGAACTACTTAAGGTAGTGATACACATGGATATATGATTTGTTCGAGGGCTTTGAGGCCTAAGGATGAAACACGAGAGATGGGTGTGGCTCATTCAATTATGTAAGCACGAAAGGAGTGTTCTGATGGAACTTGATCTTAGTGACAATCCTCCCAACAATGTCCAGCAATATAATATATTGTATGTGAGGATGATCTATTGATAAAATCTCCATATTTGTCAAAAAGAAGTATTTTGTCAATCTTTTTATAATCATGTTTTAGTCAAGCTTTATTTTGGATAAAATTATAATATGGTCTTTATGATTTGTTTTTGTGGTCATAAACTTCAACTCGGTAAAAAATTAAAGGTGAATGTGGTAAAGTGATTTATGAAGGCTAAACATGTATTTTAAAATTAAATTAGATGATTTGAGAAAAACATAAGTCTATGAATATGGTTTTGAGAAAATCACACAATCTAACAAGGTCAACTAAGTCTTTATGGAAAATCATTCTAAACCGTCATACAATTATCTAACTATTGCTTATGTATGCATATATACCTGGTCAAATAGCTTTTTGATTAAAGAGAAAAAAATTGTCCTGAAAGTATTTATAAAATTGGGAGAAAAACTATCATGCCCTGGTTTTTAAATACCCATATGCCTTGAACTATGTTTTTAGTTATTTAGAATCCTCGATTACTTAAAATCTTGAACTATAGAGAATGTTGTAGGAATGCCATCTTGTTAAGCTTCCTTGATACATATTGTGTTGATTACATAACTTTGTTTGTATGGATTTACTACCAAGATGACTAGTCTGATTGGACCTTTGTAGTTCAGGAAGGTTTTGTGTATTATGAAACCAACGGGCATTGAATTACTTATTGTATAAGACTTGCTCATGATAGAAGCATAAGAATGCATATATTGTATGCGCAATAATTGAGTAGAAGCTGCTATAGTCCCACAGTTTTTCTTTTAACTAATTGAGTAGAAGCTGCTATAGTCCCACAGTTTTTCTTTTAACTACTTGGATATTCAGATATACAAATGCAAGGTATTTCACGGATCCAGATGATACGAAATCTACATCTAGATATGTATTCATGCTTGGAGGGGGTACAATTTCTTGGAAATAAAAAAAAACAGGATGCGATGGTAATACCCACCATGCAAGCAGAATACATGACGTGCTGTTTGACAACCAAGGACGCCGTATGGATTAATAAATTTTTTAATCGACTTAACTTTCACCCCGTGCGTTGTGAGACAGTAAGGATTTTTTACGACAATATGGTGGCAATATGTATGTCAAAAGAGCCACGATTCCATAAGAGCTTCAAGCATATAAAATTATCTATCACCTGAAGAATGATGTGAGATTGAGAGAGATCAAGATTAGCTATATATCCACAACTATATCTCAGATGGGGGCTACACCTAATCAGCGTATCCCTATCTATCTCCCTTTGACCAAGTTACATAGCTCTTGACAGGTGCGCATGGGAGAGAGAGAGAGAGAGAGAGAGAGAGAGAGAGAGAGAGAGAGAGAGAATTGTCCTGATAGCTCTACCAATTTGGATGGTCCTCATGTTCTGTTTCAGGGAGAACTGGTTTCCAATTGGGTTTTTCATCCCAGTACATGTCATAGTATATGTGGCCGATCCGTTTCTGATCAACACAGCACCAGATCCCCACATAGCGCTTCACACGATGCCTGAATTTCTCCTCTCTTCCCTGGCTCACAAAAACACACACCAAAAAAATGAATAGAAAGCAAAAGAAAAAGGAAATGGAAAAGAAATAAAACAATAACAAAGAATGTAGAAACCAACAATTTAGAAGAACTTGAGCGACAACAAAAGGGAAGAGCGAACATGCCTCGTCACTGAAGCCTTGAAACGCATCTTGCATGGAAGAGAACCGTATTACTTTTACATGCTTGTAGGAAGAGAATACAGCTTTGAACTGTAAAGACATAGCGATCGATCATTATGTTCCATTTGAACTTACTGATCATACATGGTTTAGGAGAAAGTTGATTTTACTAACCTTAAAGTGCAATATTTTTAAAGGGTGTGGTTTGTATAGAGCCAAGGTTCTAAACAATCAAATTAGAACCCACCTTCAAATAGTGTCGAGAAATGTGGTTTCAATATAAGAAATCTTTGACTAGCCTTAAAATATATTTTCATCTTTAATTACAAAATTTAAAGCTTAAAAAATAGTGTAGAACGAGCAGATCTATGAAAACTTGAATAACTTAAAAAATTGATGGTCCAAAAATGCATTACAAGATTCACTATTTCCAAAACTTGAAATCCATTTTTTTAATCAAGTCACATCCATATTGATGTGGAGATGATCAATTTGAGGATATTTGGGTATCAAAACAACCTCTTCTAGTGAAATTTTAGAAGTAGGCTCTAATTTGATTGTTTAGAGCCTAGGCTCTATATAAACTTTTCCCATTTTTAAATTGCTTGACATTCCATACTTTCCAAACAGATATTTTGTCCATTATTTATGTGAAAATTGATTATGATATCTCCTATAGGAGAATTTCCACTATTCAATTCGTTCAACAACTAGGTTACATAGACACAAAAGTGCATGTCAGATGTTTGGAACGAATACAAGCACAAGAAACATACTAATATCAAAATTGGTCTTTCGGACATGACAAATCTGTAAGCTATTTAAAGGAAGGGGGAGGTGGGAATTTTTTGTGATATCAAGTACTTCTATGGTGAGCTTTCAGGAAGAAATGTTAAGAACACGTCCAGGTTTATAAAGTGTCAGGCTTCTCGTCCTTGGTGTATGGACGTGCACAAAAACCAGAGATGCGTGGCCATGTAACATGTTCCATAAATAAAGATCAGTTCTCTCCTTGTAATGAAAAAGGACTCTCAAAATATAATTACCGTCTCTTCATTGCTGTGCTTAGGAAATCTGAGCACACCATGTTGCTCCTTCTCATTGGCATGACAGTTGAAGGATCCCTCATCACAGAGCTCAACATCAAGCATCGACTCTTTTACCTGGTAACATTAATGGTGTAAATGACTAAGTTAAAATTGATAAACCTATATGGAACCATATATGGACACCTCTCTCTCTCTCTCTCTCTCTCTCTCTCGTCTCTACAC